ATTTTTCTGCCAGTGTCAGTAGTGGATAACACCCTGCCCCATCTCACACACAGAGCTATGACATTCACATGTGAGTAAAACTCAACAAGGGTGTGGAGTCCATCAGTGCCTGAGTCCTGAGCTTCCAAACGCTTCTTACCTCTTAACATGTAGAAGGGGACTTTTCATCCTGTCTCTGCTTTCATCTAGTGAGAGTTCAGAAGCTGTCAGGATGACCTGGGTGGAGACTCAGAGCCAGCACTCTGATTGGAAAGCACTATTTGAAAAGAGAGACCGGATCAGGAGTCAAAAAAAGCCCCTGAGTAGCCATCTAGGAGCCTGGAGCCTGGAGATGCTGCATGGACTCCTCAGAGCCCCAAGCGCCCGGCCGCCTCATCTAGTACTGGGGAGTCATAGCCCTCCTGAGCACATGCACCTTATCTGCCCTCAGCCAGTCTCGCCTGTGAGCTGTAGCCTGGAATGCCATCACTGTTCCTTTAAGTGTAGATTCAAGTGAGTAGATGTGAGGTTTATATTTATACTTAAAATTTAGATTTTTACTCTTTTATACTAGTTTGATTTATGCTGTAAATTTCTATTTTTTTCTTTTTGGGTGTTTCAGAGGTCTCACTATGTACTTCAGGCTGGTTTTCTAATTCGCACTGTAGCCTCAAAGTCATAGCAATGCCTGCCTCAGCCTCCCCAGTGCTGGGATTGCAGTTATGACCCACCACCCCTGCCCATCAACTTGTACCTTTGGATGCCTTAATTTATTATTATTTTTTGGAACTGTGATTTGAATATAGGACTTTTTCACTGCCCTACATCTCAGCCCACTGACCATAATTTTTGTTTTTGTTTTTGTTTTTTTTCCGGTCTTGGGAATGGAACTCACAACTTCATGCTTGCCAAGCAGGTGCTGTGCCACTGAGCTAAATCCCCAGACAAGGCCATATTTTATTTTGAAAAAAATTCTCAAAATAAAAAACCAACCATGTTTGGATACACATTCATGGAATCCTACCACCCGGTAGACTCCATAGTTATGGAATTCAACAAAATACTGTATTATTAAATCCACAGCAATTGCCAGGTGCTTTGGTAGCATCT